AGGGAATCAAGCAGTTTTTTGTGGCAGTTGAAAGGGAGGAGTGGAAGTTTGATACACTTTGTGATCTTTATGACACGTTGACTATCACTCAAGCTGTTATTTTCTGCAATACAAAACGAAAGGTCTCTTCTGGAGTCTCATAAGCATGCATTTTCAGATTTTCTTTTCAAAATTGGGACAGAAACCTCAACTGTATTCTTATGTAGTTCTTTTATTCATGTTTTTGGATTTCAATCTGTGATCTTGAGGCTTGTCTTTGTGATTTCTGCTTTTGGAATAGGTTGATTGGCTAACTGAGAAGATGCGTAGCAATAACTTTACAGTGTCATCAATGCATGGGGATATGCCTCAGAAGGAAAGAGATGCAATTATGGCCGAGTTTCGTGATGGTGCAACCCGTGTTCTTATAACTACAGATGTTTGGGCCAGAGGGCTTGATGTTCAGCAGGCAAGTCTCTAGGGGTGCTTTTTATGTCCCCTTTCTGGATGTATTTTTTCTTGTTGTTTCTCTATGAGTATTAGTTTAATTTTTTAGACAATAAAATATGGTTTGATGCAAGTATTATAGTTCAGTATCATCTTGGAGATCAGTTATGTATGGTAGTACTGGCTTTGATGTATAAGGTTACAAAAGATCTAAGTGCATATCACGTGCTTGTTTTTCTATAATTGATTTTCTTAATCTAGTGAGGGAGAGGCAGGAGAAAGAAAAGCTTTAATTTTCTATAGAACTAGAAGCCTTTTTGTTTTCCATTTTATATTCTACTAAATTTACCTTTCTTGTTTCCAGGTATCTTTGGTGATCAATTACGACCTGCCAAACAATCGAGAGCTTTACATCCATAGGATTGGACGTTCTGGCCGTTTTGGTCGAAAGGTATTTCTTCTGCTATATTAGATCCTCTTCCCACCTTCAAGTTACCTTGTATTGTTACTGTATGGTGATTGTAATGTTGCTTTGCAGGGTGTTGCTATTAATTTTGTGAAAAGTGATGACATCAAGGTTCTTAGAGACATAGAGCAGTACTATAGTACCCAGATTGACGAAATGCCAATGAATGTTGCGGATCTGATATAAGGATGGTTTTTAAATGCTTGGATTGAAGGGTGGCACGTTCCATACTATCTGTGTAATTGACTTGTGTATACAGTTACATGTTTCTGTGTGATTGTCTTTGTATGCTAGCTGGAGGTAGATTGATGCAAAGTGGAGGTTTTGGTAACCAGAAAGACCGAATCAAATTAAGGATCTATGGAAAACATAGCGATTTTCGTGCTTTTCTTCCATGTTGTATGTATGTGTAGTTGGATTTTCTCAAATTTCGGTAGTGTTAATATTTCAGGAGTTTGATTTGTAAGGTTTTTAAGCGTCATCTCTTCTTCACACTTTTTTTAATTCGTTCCTCCTGGGATTTACCAAGAGTGATTAAAAAAAACCTGGAATGGAAGTTATCCGAACCTCGTACGATATAGGGTTTGGATCTTAAATTTTGATTTTATCAACACAGAATTTCAAACCCTACTCTCTTGGAATTGTTAGCGATAATTGTACGATTTCATGAGCCATATTAAATATGCGTATTAAATTACGTGCATACAAACTTAAGACAAATTGGAATTCAGAACTGAATCACTGCTATATTTTTAGCACCACTAAATGACGACCGAAAAACACTAGTAAGACGAAATCAAATTAGAACACCGTGTATTTATATATATTTTCACTTCAAAAATGAAATGAACTTTGCGGTGTGAAGGTATGTCTTTGAAGAAGTTGTCAAGAGGTTGGAATTACAATTACTTGTATGACTTAATACAATTGTTTAAATTTTGTCTCGAAAAATGTTTTAGTGCTTATATAAATTTTTGCAAAAAATAGGTGTCTCATGTTTTATCAATTATATTTTTAGGTGTCTATTGTTATATTTTTTAATTAATTTTTTTAATAATAAAAATATTTTTTTAAAAAAAATAAAAAAATATTAATTTATTTATAAAAAATCGAATTTTTAATGAAATTATAAAAAAAAAACTCTAAAAAACTAAAATATCTCATTTTAACCCCATTACCAACGGTTGCCGGCCATCTCAAATCGCCATCGCCACGACCACTTGGGTTTTTATCGGAATTGCACGGTGGTTTGAATGGTGGTGGCGGTGTGGCTTATGGACATCAGGATTTGCCGGAATCAACGAAAAACAACGACGATGCTTAAAACCCAACGAACCTTTGAAAGTTTCTCCACGGAAAACGGTGACAGTTTACGACGAAATGTCAACAGGGGTTCGTTCGAGGGTCGACGTCGGTGCTAATGAAGGTGGCGATGACAGTCACGGCTGTCTGGTCGGTGAACTATCGAAGGGGGAATGTGGAAGGGGAAAGGGGGTTGACGGTCACGCTGGGATTTTTTTTAATAAAATTTTTTTAAATAAATTCTCAAAAATACTAGAACGTGACATGTGTCACTTAATGACAAAATTTAACGGTTGTTACGGTCTAGGCACCTAAAAATCTCCAAGGAAAACGTTAGGCACTTATTTTTAGCAAAATTTTCTTTAGCAATTAAAATGTTTTTCGAAGCAAATTTTAAGCGCTTGTTTTTGTATTAAGCTTACTTGTTTTAAGTTAGATTCGATTAAATGTTCATAAATTTGGTTTGCGTTTGTATCAGGATTATGGTTGGATTCGAGAGTTGTTTAAACGTGGAGAATATTTAAATATCTCCAGAGATGTCAAAAGCTTGACACCTTAAAAAATGATGTTGTCTCAATGTAAAAAATAATTAGAATGATATTATACAGAAATGTTAGGAATAGTAATAATAATATTAATAATAAATGAAAATAATAGTTAGACTTAATTATAAATATATGAAAATACTAACACATGCATGCTAAGGGATCAATTTGAAAGGAAAAAAACATAAATTAATTTGACTAAATTGTAAAAGAAAATGTAAAAAAAAAAGGGTACTTAATTATTATTAATAATAGTGTTGAAAAGACTAACACATAAATAGCTCAAAAACAAGCTAAAGGCAGGTGAAGGATCCGGGTCAGATCAGGCGTGGGTCGGTGGTTCAAATAGATATTGTGCAACATATGATGAGTACAATAACAAATTGACGATTACTTCAATGCCTAAATTTAATTTAACCACGTGATATTTTCTGGATGTGTTGTTCTATGACGGTTTTAGGTATTATCGTATCAGCCTAATCGATGAATAGATCGAAGAGGTAAATGTAATAATAAAAAATATATTAAATACTTGAAATATAAAAAAATAATTAAGTTTAAAGAATTATCAGACTTCAGTTTCTTTTAAATGAAATGCTTTATTACCAAATATACTTTGTATCCAAAAATAAAACAAAGTTGAATTTATTATAATTTTTTCTCAAGTAAATTTGGAGACTGAAAAGACTTTTCACTCAAGTTGTAATGTTGGTCCCTTTGCTATATTACAATTAGGGATTCAGTCCTTGCATTTAATTTCGGATGATTTTATCCCTCTATTTTTATGATGCCAGTAATTACTCTAAATCTTCAATACAATTAGTTACTCTAGATTTACTAATCACGCTATATGTGTATGCATAGAAGGACACGTTCTCCCCTCAAATGATTGTTTTAAGTACCTAGAATCTATGATACATAAAGATGGGGGTGTAGATGATGACGTTACACACCGTATAAAAGGCGGGATGGCTAAAGTGAAGGGTTGCTGCTGGAGTTTTGTGTGACAAGAAGGTGCCTCTAAAACTTAAGGGAAAAATTTATAGAATGGCAATAAGATGAGCGCTGCTGTATGGATCAGAATGTTGGACAATCAAGAAGGATCACGTAAGGAGGATGGATGCCGCAGAAATGAGAATGCTTCGATGGGCATGTGGTAGGACTCTGTGGGACATGACACCAAACTCTGCTATTAGGATGTCATTTGGGGTGGTGTCTGTATTCGAAAAATTGAGGGAGAGAAGACTACGGTGGTTTGGGCATGTCCTTAGGCGACAACCGTCGGATGCGGTCAGAAGGGTAGAGTCGATTACAGTCGACGGTGTCAGAAGGAGAGGACAACCAAGGCAAAAGTGGGAAGACTGCTTGAGATCTGATTTGAAGGATTTAACCCTTAACAAGGACATGACCTCTGGTAGGAAAGTATGGAGACTTAAGACTATGGTAGCCGAGTAGTGCGGGTCACAGCCATACGGTGTAACATCTCTGTCTTCTTTTTAATGCCTTTGTAGTAATTCCCATGACTTCTACTTTTTATACGTTTCTGTCATTGGAATTTATGAAGGCTTAGAACTAGGGTAGCGGAGTAGTGTTGTCTTAGTTTAGGTTTTAACCCATTTGACTTTAGTCCTTCTCGTAGCTTGCTATCGTTGACTTCTTTGTATCATTCTCTTCAAGTTTCCTCTTTTTAAATTTAGCCGGGTCTTACGTTTCTGTCTATATGCAGAGAATTTTTACGCATAGATTTTTTTGCAGGGATTACTTTCCATTACAGACTCGTATATGAAGACTGTTCAACTATGTATTTACTTATTTATTTATACACGCATTGCATTTTATCTTTATTTTTAATTTTCTAACTGCCGGAGGTCTTCCACGGAAGCTTGCTCTCAACCTTGCGTTTGGGGCCAGCCTACTAACCTACCTCCCACTTATCCCATTACATATGAAAATAGAGTTTTGTTGTTGTTGTTGTAGGCAAAGTTCAAAATTTAATCATACTAGAGGGACCAAAATCAAATTTTGACCTTTGAACGTTGAAATGCTTTCCAACAATTTCGGAAACATGTGAGGGGAAAAAAAGGCAAGTGCATTGCTGTGCACAACTGGCAATCACCTTTGATTCCCTCGTTTTACCTTGAATATTCCGTTGCCAAAATAAAGTATCTTCATTTTGATTTTCTTACTGTATACTAATAAATGTATTCACATTTGTTTTCTTAGAACTTTCCATCCTCCCTGTTTAAAAGCTACAAACCAACCAAACAAACCCAAGCCCATCTCTCTGAATTTCTTCCTCTAGAAGCAGTGGCCATGCCTCTTCTCAACGATCTCATCAACCTCGACTTCGGCGAGACCACCAATAAGATCATTGCTGAATACATATGGTTCACGAATTTTCTCTTCCTTAGTTTGAAGACGTGCAATTTGCTCTTCTTAACAAACTTTTCTAATTATGTTTCAGGATCGGTGGATCCGGAATGGATCTGAGGAGCAAAGCAAGGGTGCGCCTCTTAGTCTTCAAAGTTCAAACTCTGTTCGTTTGTTCAATCTTTTTTCAAGAAAAAAACATTTGATTTTACCGTATATGATTTCTACAGACTTTGACTGGACCAGTGAACGATCCTTCGGAACTCCCGCTCTGGAACTTCGATGGTTCGAGTACGGGCCAGGCTCCCGGAGACGACAGTGAAGTTATTTTACGGTATTTTTGTTTGGGTTTTTCATCGGATCATTGTGACTGATTATATTTTGGATTTTATATTAAGAAAATAATTTTATAAACTGTGTTTAAATGATATTATATGTTTTTTTAATTTTAAATATATTTATTATTAGTTATAAAATTATATTTTTAGACGATAATAGTGATTGTTATGTTTGTTGTGATTTTGACTGATCCGCTCAGACCTCAAGCTATATTCAAGGATCCCTTTCGAAGAGGAAACAATATCCTGGTAATTAATTATTTCTTTGTCTCGTTATTTTCGGTGATCCCTACTTTAATGAATATCAGCGGTGACTTTAATAAATACGATTGTTCTTATAGGTGATGTGCGATGCTTACACTCCAGCAGGTGACCCTATTCCCACCAACAAGAGATTCAATGCAGCCAAAATCTTTGGCCACCCTGACGTTGTTGCCGAGGAACCTTGGTAATTTTCTTTACAAACTTGTTGCTTATTTTTCTAAAATTTCGTTGGTTAAATTCCATTTCCAAATCCATGGAATTTCTGCAAGTGACAAAGTCAGCATTAGAAAATGAGTCTGGACCCCACAAACCAAATTTCTATATGCACATTTTGGAAATAGAGAATATGATAGTTGTAGTTATTTTACTATGAAGTAAAAAGAATTAAAATTAGGTTCTATAAAAAAAAAACTAAAGTAATGATATATCATGTATGTAACTTAAATCATCATCCTTTGTTCTCTTAAATTGGAAGAAAAAAGATGTACTCAATAACAATAAAAATATTTAAATAAAGGAAAAGAAATTAGTCTATTTTCTGTCAAGACCATCTCTAGTGGTTTACTATTTGGCATTGGTATTGTTTTGAGAAGTCAATTTTACTCTATTTCATTCCCTTCTCTTCGTGTACTTATATTTGGTTGATTGAAATCAGGTTTGGAATAGAGCAAGAGTACACTCTCCTTCAAAAACATGTCAAGTGGCCTTTGGACTGGCCTGTTGGAGGGTTCCCCGGCCCACAGGTTCTTCTATCTCACTGCCTTTGTTATAGATTCGTCAGATGTAATAATCTAAACTAAGTATTTCATCCATCCATACAGGGTCCTTACTACTGTGGAGTAGGGGCTGACAAGTCCTTCGGCCGGGACATCGTGGATTCCCATTACAAAGCCTGTCTTTATGCTGGGATTAATATCAGTGGAATCAACGGCGAGGTTATGCCTGCTCAGGTGGGTTTATTCTTCGTAAGTAATTAAGCTAGGCTTTCATTCTTCGTTAGTAATTAAGCTAGGCTTTCATTCTTCCTTTTTTTTCATGAATGATCTTATGGTTTAAACAGTGGGAGTTCCAAGTTGGACCAGCCACTGGAATATCAGCAGGGGATCAATTATGGGTTGCTAGATACATACTCGAGGTATTTCGTTATTTGTATTCTGGTGTATTTAATCAATGTAGTTTCCTTTCAAGGCGTTAAATTACTGTAACATCTTATGTATTCTTTTCCGAACAGCGTATCACTGAAATTGCTGAAGTTGTTCTTTCTTTCGACCCCAAACCTATTCCGGTTCGTTTCCTCGCCAACGTTATCCTTTAAATTAATCAAAATTATTTTTCTTGTTCTTGAATTACCCTTTTTTCCCCATTATCAGGGGGATTGGAATGGTGCTGGCGCTCATACCAACTATAGGTATATAGTATATGCTTAATCAACGACCACTACACCTTTTTAAGTATTGGTTTCCATGAATGAAGTGTTAATTTGTGGGAAAAAAATATGGTTTCAGCACAAAGTCAATGAGAAGTGATGGCGGCATTGATGTGATAAAGAAGGCAATTGAGAAGTTGGGTTTGCGCCACAAGGACCACATTGCTGCCTATGGAGAGGGTAATGAGAGACGCCTCACCGGTCGTCATGAAACTGCTGATATCCATACATTCTCTTGGGTAAGTCACTATGTGAGTATATATATGTAAGCATTTAGCAGTAACACATTTTTTTTTTTCTCATTTAATAAGACTAATTTTGCTTGCAATTTCGGAAACTTCAGGGTGTTGCAAACAGGGGAGCTTCCATCCGAGTTGGCCGTGACACCGAGAAAGAAAGAAAAGGTAAGCATATTCTGTTTTATCTAAGTGTAAAATTTTATAATTCCGTCCCTACCTCATTGTAATCTTACATTGATGGATATGTATGAAATGACACACGCAGGTTACTTCGAAGATAGAAGGCCAGCATCCAACATAGATCCTTACATTGTGACATCAAAAATCGTTGAAACCACCATTCTCTGGAAGCCTTAGAAACGGAAGATTAGATGGATAAACCTACATCAGATTAGATCCTATATAAATAACCCTCCCATCTTCTTCCATGGATGAGTGGTGGTCATAACTTATGTTTTATTAATGACTTTTTACGACAGTAGATGCCATTTAAACTCCTCTCTTTTCTTTTCTTTTCATTTACTTATATAACTCTCTCCTCTCATCTTTTTTCTACCAAATAAAATGCATGGTATGACATAAACTGTCACGGTTCTGCTATAAATTAATGCACCACGCACCGGCATAATAATAAATATTTATGAGATTTAAAATCCTTCGTAAAATAAATTATTTATTATATCAAAATTAATAAAACATTGTAAATATGATTATAAAATGACAAATGACATGAAAGAACATCAAATGATTTCAATAGTAAGATGAAAGATTATTCTTCTTAGAGGTTGTAGATTTGGGTAGTTGTGTCTTAATATCTGTAAGATATGTATGTGCTGTAAATAGATTAAAAAAATTTTAGACGTATATTATCTTATATTTTACACTTTTTAAATCTTTTAATTTAATTTAAAAATGTAAATGTAAATTTTATTTATCAACAATTTCCATTTGGTTTGGTTTCTACGTTTCAATGCTCCAGATCTTTTAAGAATTTCGATTCAACCATTAAGATATCGGAGGTCAAATACAGAAGACTGATAAGATTAGGGTAAATGAATTGTTTTTTTTTCTTTTGTTTTTCAAAGAAAGGGGGGAATATTCAGAGGGAAAGGGAGAGGTGGAATAGCGCCATCGCAAATGGACACTACAGTTTCGATACGAATGGGTATTGTAGTCGGTTTTGTAATGATTATAGGCTATTGGACGGAGATAAGATTTATTCTCCCACGTTACCTTCTGCTGGTTACATTGAACATACCGTTTCCCGTTTCGATACTCTTGCCGGCGTCGCCATCAAGTACGGCGTAGAGGTAGCTATGTTTTCATTTATATTTTGAAATATGAGGAAATTGATAAATGTTAACCTAAGACTTGAATCTAATTGTATTATATTATTTTATTATTGTCGTCTGTGATCTGTAGAGGTAAATGACAAATTGTTGTTTTTGATATAGCAGTGTGAACGTGATATCACACTAATAAGAGCTCACACTAATAAGAGCTGATAGTGATCGCAACTTAACGGGTATGGGCCAATTGTGACAATAACAACTCACTATTTTCTTTTATTTTTGGCCAAGCCAAATCAGTCCATCAAAACGGGTTCGAAAGAAAAAGAGAGAGAAGGAGGATTCGAACAAAAAAAACAGGGTGATTCGAAACAAAAAAATGAAAAAAGAACGATAGGAGATTAGCGTTATTCCACAGTTACTACAGAAAAAAAACTTAATTTTTTGTATACATCGTCGCCAAACCTCGTTCCCCCCCCCCTTTCTTTACTAATCTATGTTTTTGATACGTGTATGTTGAGATTCAAAAGAAAAAAACAGAAAAGTAAAAAAAGAAGAACAAAACACTTTACCTGTTTTGTGGGTCTTCCTGGAGTGGAAATCATTAGAATTGGAGAATGAAAGCTTTTGTTTAACTTGAGTCTCTCTTTTAGGCTTGAACAGGTCATGATTTTTTAGTGTTTTAGCTATTGAGGAAGAAACAGTAAGAAATGAGAGAACGGTACGGTGGGTTGGGGTGGGGTGGTTGGGAGGAGTTTAGGATTAAAATATTTTAAGCTTTATTGGGCTTAAAGCATAATCTACTCACATTCTTATTTCACAATTTTATTTTTTAAAGGAATATATTAATTTGTCATCCTACTATTTTTTAGAATTTATAATTTAATCATTAATTTAGAATATAAATTTTTATTTAATCTCAATTTCAGTCATTTAAATAATAATGTATTCACAATGTTATCATTAATTAATTATCTTATTCTATTACTGGATTTTTAAAGTCTTCTATTTAGTTAAACTATATATATATATATATATAATTTTCACTTAAAAAACTTTCAACAAGTTATTAAAAATGATTCCTTATAATTATTATGTTTTAGGGTAAATTATACGAAATTTAAAATAATTCACGATCACGACACCCGCAATGACGGCAATGACATTTATTATTTATGCAATCTCGATAAACACGACCGTAAATGTTATTTAAATCCCTTATATCAGGTATGTGATATAAAAAAGATGAATGGTCTTGTTACAGACCTTCAAATGTTTGCTCTTAAGACACTCCAGATCCCTTTACCCGGGCGGCATCCACGTCACCTAGCTTGTCAGATGATTCCACCGCATCAGGGTATTATATCTTTTTTTCAGTATTAATTTTGTTTCTTCTTCCAACTCCTGAACTTTACTTTTTTAATGCTTGTAAAATTAATCACTGTTAATTACATCCATAGTAATTGTTTTTCAGAACGTCGGATGGTGTTGCGTATTCGAACCTGAAATATAGGATTTCCATGAGGAACCATGGTTACCCTAAATTCGATCAATAACTTCATCAATTAATCCAAACCCTTTAGCTTCTTCTGGTGTCATAAAACAATCCCTATCCATATTCTTCTGTATCACATCGACCGATTGCCCCGTGTGTTTGGAATACAAGGCGTTCAATGCATCCCAAACACGAACGATCTGCTTGGTGTGGATGGTCAGATCTTTAGCCTGCCCGCTGTACCCGCCAGAAGGCTGATGGATCATGATGGTGGCATTGGGGAGGGACCGCCTTTCGCCCTTGGCACCCGCTGCTAAAAGGAGAGAAGCCATGGATGCGATGCAGCTTGCCCCAAACAGATTGTGTTGATCGGAGACTTTATGTACTGCATCGTATCATAAATTGCAAGGCCTGCATTCAAAACAATAAGTTTAATTCATTTAATCCCTCTACTACTATGCTGAAACTCAAAACTCCCTTAATCTAAATTTATTCCCTTGTCCACTTTAAAAACGGTATTAATAGCTCCAAATTCCAGGGACTAAAGTCATAATTAGACCAATATAAGATCGATAAGATTATTGAGAGAAATCAGAGAATTAGGAATTTAGGGAAGAAAGCAAAGTACCTGCGGTGACATGGCCGCCAGGAGAGTTGAGGTACATGTTGATGGGTTTGGAGGGGTTTTCGGATTCAAGGAAGAGTAGCTGGGCTACGACGACGTGGGCAGTATCATCGTCGATGGTTCCATTTATGCAGACGATCCTTTCCTTGAGGAGACGAGAGAATATGTCATAAGCTCTCTCGCCGCGGGAGGAGTGCTCGATCACCATTGGTATTAGGCTGTAGTTCCGGTGGATGGAAGGAGATAGGGAGGCCATTGTAGTGGAAGATATGAGGCGTTTGGCGCTAGAAATAAGGGCCCTCATGGCTGCCTGAGCGGCGACACCTGGGTTAGGGTTTTGAAATTGGATGGAGATATTGGACAGACGAGGTTAGTATTACAAGAAACTTCTTTTCTCAGCTTTTGTTAGTGAGACTCGAATTGGATCGTTCTTTCTCGACTATACTTCAAGGGCGTCTCTCTTATTCATCTCTTTTTGGTTTAATTAAACAATAAGTAGCTAAATTATATCACATTTTTCATTTTAGTATTAAAAATAACGTTTTTATCAAAATAAAGTAAATAGTCATATTGCATGGGTAAAAAAAATATACAAACACCACATTGAAAAAAATGATAAAATACAGAAGCCATTCCTGCTATTAACCCATATATTTTAGATATCTACTTTTAAAATAAACTTTTTGAAGTTAATTTGAATGGTATGAAACAAAAATATAAACTTAATAGATTAATTTACATATTTTTAATGAAAACAATTAGTTATATTCAAAAGCTTACTATAATTTAGCCAATTTATCCACGCATTATATAATTACCCAATGGATACCAAATAGTAATTATTTGAAATAAATTAAAAAATGTTCATGTAATTTCTATACACGTCATTTTTATAATAAAAACTAAAATAAAAATGTGTTTACTATATAAATAATAATTTCAATAATTGATTCAGTTAATTATCTCAATCTTTTTTATAGTCGAATCAAGTTTCAACATAAGAACTAATGAAACAACTGCTAACAATGAGCATTTAACCAATGACATTAATAAACCTTAAAGAACACAAAATCCTCTGGAAACAACATTCGAGAACTAAAAGAGAAGTTGACAAAATTCTACGTAAAACCCATAACATAACATTTGACATGTGAATAACATCACATTTAGAAAAGAGATGTTCCTTTCCCCTTCTTGTCTCCACCAATCTTAAAGTGCTTGCACCTCTGCAAAAACCACGATATCAGAAAACAACCGAAAGTTAGCTCCTTAAACAGCATGTCTAAGGGAAACAAAAATAAAACAGCTAAGGGGTTTTCACTGCACCAACCTTGATTGGATGCTGTGAAACCTGCTTACATCCCTGGCACTGAAGCCTTAGCACAATCTTCTTGGTGGTCTTTGCCTGTTCAGAGGAAACGGAAATAATCGAATTGACAAAATGGTTGACCAAATATCCCTTACAACCTAGTATCAGAACATGCAGTATAAGATTATTGATCTTTTCAATGTATATCTAACATACATTCGAAGGCTAGGCCTTTGACAAAAATGGATAACTAAACAATTTCTTATAACCTAGCAGCAGAACATGCAGCATAAGATTATTGATTTTTCGATATGCATCTAGCATCCATTCAAGGGATAAAAGATAAGTGAATTGAAATTTTACCTTCTTGTGGAACACTGGATTGGTCTGACCACCATAACCTGATTTTTTGTGATCATAACGCCACTTTCCTTGAGCAGTCAAACTATCCTTACCCTTCTTGTACTGTGTAACCTTGTGCAAAGTGTGCTTCCTCCTTGCTCTTGCAATAAGTCTTCTTTGTCTTGGGTGAGTTCACCTGCGATACAGATTCACAACTAAGCTCAACAGAGAAAAGAGTGGTAAATTTAGCAACCATTTCCACAATGAAAACCTAGATTAGACTTCATTGACGAATGGCTCTGCCACTACAATGTTTACCATTTGCAATCTCATCAAAGTTTGTTTAACACCGGGATTTCTGACATCAACCATAGGCTAATTTCATCGACACATGCCCCACTTTCAGATTCATCCATAGTAAAGTTAAAATTAATTCATCAGAATAGAATAGTCTTCATCTTTACTGGAAATCTCTTGAATTTATGCATCATATGCAAATACAAATTTAAGTAGTCCAATTTAATAGTTGGAACATATTGCACAAAAGACATATAGACGAATTAAATTCAACATAGAATTCTGAAAAATGGGAAAACAGAAGAAAAAGAAAACCCAAACTCGACATCCTACCACCCAAATGCTCTTATACAATAATGACCATTAGATTAAAATTTATTCCATTAAAAAAATGTAAGGGAGAAACATATCAGATCCAAAACATGCTCAAAAGATTAATGAAAACCAAACAAAGAAAAGAAAAAGAAAGAATACCATGGTAGCAGCTGAGCTGTGTGCCTTGTTTCGGAGTGGATTGTGAACTAGGAAACAGCCAATGTAACAATATAACCTATCTAGGGTTTTTAAATGGATCCCATTTAGGGCTAGGTTTTGGGCTTAAACGAATATATGGGTAAAGTACGTAAATTGTCCCCCGATTATAGAGTACTATTTTGTTAAGTTAATCGACTATTAAAAGTTACAAAAGGTCTACAACTATTCATATGTTTCAAACTCGCCATTTTCCGTTAAAAATTGACGCCCGTCTGAGTTGGATGTCAATAAATTAACGTCTAAAAATACAACTCAAACGGTTCTAGGATTAGATTTTATCAAATCTCAATCAACAAGTTAACGTTCACTTTAGACGATTGTTATTTTTTTAAGAAAAAATGGCGATATTGGAACATATGAATAGTCGGGTGACTATTTTTAACTTTTAATAGTCGAGGGACTCAATAAAACAGTACCCTACAGTCAAGGGACTATTTTGTAACTTTAATAGTCATAGACTCAACAAAGAATTACTTTAAAATCGGTGATCATTTGTGTACTTTACCTTATACTTTTCTAAAAATATATGGTATATAATATATTTATTTTAATCTTAAATTCTAAACCTAAAATATTGAATCCTCTAAAATATCAAACTTAAATTTTAAATTCTAAACCATAAAAGTAATTTGAGTTATAAATGAATTGGACTTGGACTAATAAGATTGTATTCGTGTTCATTTATTTATTTTCGAAAGTGTTTGTGTTTGTTTATTTTTTTTTAACGTGTTTGTATTCGTTTGTTTATTTTTGAAAGTGTTCAATTCGTTTAGCATTCACGAATATATTTTTTCAATGTTTGTCAACATGTTCACTTATATATTTGTCAGCATGTTCGTTAGGAGTTCGCAAACATGTTCGTCAAGAGTTTGCAAACATATTTGTTTATATGTTCAAAAAATAATGAAATTATGCCATTAGTCCTTAAGCTCATTAGGTTTCACATTTAAACTTTAAAGTTCACCATGTGTTCAATTTAATCCCCACATTTACCAATATTTAAAATGTAAAAAAAAAAAGAACCAAGTAAATGAGCTTCTAAGCAAGTCTTTAAACTAAGTTTCAAATGAGTTTGTTCGTGAACATAAATGAACCGAACATACTTTTATTCATGTTTATTCGTTTATTAAATGAATATAAAAAAATTATTCAAACTGGTATATTTAACTTAAATAAATGAATATAAACAAATGTTATACGAATAATTGATATATAATTTATCGGACGTGATGTTCATTTTATACATCTAGCCTTGGGGCGCTACTTGTTCCGAGCAATTCTGGTGCATGAATCAATTGTAAACTTTGACTAGTTGAATTGGAGTGCATGAATCAGTTGCAAACTTGTCATGTCCTAATTCTAGTATTTGAAACATAAACTACATGTGAATGAAACCATTGATTTAATTTTGTTTCTTTGTTCATTTTCACAGCGCATGCCCAGCCAGCACATTTTTTACTATTAATACGCAGCGTTCAATGAAGGGGGCAAGGCCTTAGCCCACAATCACATACAAAGAAGAATGTGCACCATATCCAAGCTTTTCTTTTTAGTTTGGTCATCCATCGTTACTCGAGTTGAGTCCATTTCCTTGTGCAGGTGGAGGCTATCTGGGATATCGCCGCAACGCAATGGCCAGCAGAGACACCGTGAAAAGGGCGGAGCAGCTGGTAGAGACATCAATGAAAGGGAACGATGCCTCCCATGATGCCTTGCACGTGTGGAGGGTCAGAGACCTTGCCCTTTCCCTCGCACGAGAGGAAGGCCTCTCCTCCAACCCCGACTCCATGGAAATCGTAAATCATTACATAAATCTCCCTCTTCTTGTGTGTGGGTACTTCAAGAATCAGTTCAAGTCTTCAACTTTAGGTCTCTTTTTATATAAATTGATCCTTTACTTCCGGCTTGCCAGGGCTACCGAAACTGAACGATTGATTGGGGGATTTTTGTTCTCTCTTTTTTGTCACTATTGTAATTGTTTGATCTTCTACTTAGAAAGTTTTTATGTTTAACTTTTTATAGTACTATTAACTATTAAGTCTTCCCTTCAAACCTTCTCTTTTGCCTTTGGTTTTGCATGTCAGGTGGAGCTAGCTGCACTTCTTCACGATATAGGTCCTCTTCTATCTCTATTTCCTAAAACCGTTTTTGATTCCAAATTTGGTAGTCACTTATAAATGTTGGTTTTGTTTTGGCTCTGCTGCAGGTGATTACAAATACTTGAGGTTTGTATTTCTAGTTTTTGTTGAAATATCTGGCTTTTGTCAAAAGAGATGATTTTGTGTTTCCCAAACCTACCCTAGAGAGTTTTCCATTTCATTTTTTGCTCTGAATGTGTGACTTCCTGCATTGGCATAAAGGGATCCATCTGAGGAGAAGCTTGTTGAGAATTTTCTTGAGGAAGAGGGCATAGCTGAGAGCAAAAAGATAAAGATATTAAGCATCATAGAGGGATTGGGTGAGTTTGAGTATTATTTTGTAGGCCAATATTGTCCCATTTCTGCTTTCATGCATATTGATATAATCCTAGTATCTTGGTCACTAAAGCATCTTATTCTTCGGTGATATTCGATGATCGAATATCAAGTAGGCTTCCTCATGTGACTCGTCATGAGTGTTCTAATTACCCTTTTCTATGTACTCCTTGATTTATATTTAAATACAAGTACGACACACTTCTGGGTTTTTTTCAGGTTTTAAAGACGAACTTGCAGGAGGAGGAAACCAGGAATTTCCACCTGAATTCGGGGTTGTACAAGATGCTGATCGTCTTGATGCAATCGGTGCCATAGGTATATGTTTCACCTTAATTTTCGGTTTCTTTGTTAGCTTCCGAAGGAAATTCTTCCATCCATGATCCCTTACCGATGTTATAAACTCAAACTTGAGATAGTTACATGGCGCATTCTTGGCTCACTTGAGAAATCAACTTGCATTTCTTTTGCCTTGATATATGACGCAGCATGCTTTACTTACTAATATGCTTGCTTTGAATTACATAAAGATATCCATACCTTTTTATGCACTTTGCTCAACATGCAAAAAATACCTAGATGTCTTGATCTGAACTGAAGTTCTTTGATTTAGGAATTGCTCGCTGCTTTACTTTCGGTGGGAACAGAAACAGAGTACTCCACGATCCTACCATCCTGCCACGATCTGACTTATCCAAGGAACAATACATGAAGAAAGAGGAGCAGACTACCGTGAATCATTTCCACGAGAAGCTTCTTAAGTTGAAGGATTTGATGAAAACTAAGGTACTCCTATGTGCAATTCAATTCCATATAGCTGTAACCATAATTGGGGTGCATGATTTTACTTTATGTATTCCAAATATGTGTATATCACAAGTATTATTAGTGTCTATTGCGCTATTGAGTTTGGTAACCGTGGAAATTTCAGGCAGGGCAAAGAAGGGCCGAGAAAAGGCATAAGTTCATGGAGGAATTCCTAAAAGAGTTTTACGAGGAGTGGGATGGGAAGGCCTGAATGACTTTGATTGTGTGAGTTCCTACATTGGCATGATGTATCATAATAAACAGGTCGGTGGCTCAGTTACTTCCCGTGAACTATTTCTTTATTTTCTACGTTTAAATCATGTCGAATTGTGATCTATACCTGGATTAAGATTGTGTTAATCGTGATCTATGCCTGCATTAAGATTGAAGCTGGTTTGGTGAATCATTGAATTAGTTTATTTCAACAGTGTTCATATAATGTTGACATGTATATATATATAGGCAACATGCATCTCAAGTCTCGAGACATAGCATATAAATACTTACATTGATCATTAGTTTTTCGAATAAATAAGCAATTCAACAACAATAATAAATAAATCTATTATTGTACCACCCTAAACTAAAGGCAACTCAACAAGATACAATTTTTTTATAGGGTTCAATACCATCAATATAAAAGAAGAAAATGAGGAAACATATTCATTAATAGAAGGCATATTCAAGGTATTGAAGCACATATCTTCACTTTAGGTAACTTAAAAGCTCTGTTTCAAGGCGCTTGATGAGGTTCACCTTCAGGCCATGCTTCATATACATGGTCAAGGAAAGCTTTGGTGCAATAGGATGATCTTCCACCACCTTCACATGGTAACGGCATATGGTCGAGGCGGCGGTGAACTTCATCTGATAATAAGCAAAATCTTTGCCTAAACAGAGGCGAGGACCGCCGTTGAAGGCGGTGAACTTGTAAGCCGACTCGCTCATATACCTGCCGTCTCTTAGCCATCTCTCTGGTTTATATTCCCTGCAGTCTTTTCCCCATATCGCTTCCATTCTTCCCATTGCGTAGATTGCATAGACCACATTCGATCCTTTCTTTAGCAGTGTTCCATCTGGAAATACGTCGTCTTCAACAGCCTGAAATGTACGTAAAAATGAAGTGTTTGGTGAACAAATTTCTAATTTCATTTTTGCCCCCAAGGACAAGAAACCAACAACAATCGATCATGTACACTAGTTAAGCTTAATTAAATAACAAATAAACAAAGATGATAATTGAAAAAATATTGAAATAAAATGTAAATTACCTCCTTGTGATCTACAGGTACCGAAGGATACAACCTAAGAGCCTCTGATAATGCAGCTTGTAAATAATCCATCTTCTTTATCTCCTCTGGTTTGAATATCAACGATATTTTCAGTTCATCGCCATTTTTCATCTCTTCCCTTTCATTAATGATTCTGCATATCTCTTCAAGAATTTTTTCTTCCGCCCTTGGGTTCTTTCCCAGCAACCAGAAAAACCAGCTCAATGCCACTGAAGAGGTGTCTCTTCCGGCAAGTATAAAGTTCACACAAATATCTCGTAGGAACTTGTCTGAAAATGGCTTCCCTTGCTCATCTTTCGACCTCATAAATACGGTTAACAAATCTGATCTTTGCTTCTGTGTGTTGGTTTGTAAGGACAGTTCTTTTTTCCTTGTTTCGATAACCTTTTCGGCGAATTCGTCGACTCTGTTGATCGATATTTTCAGCTTCTTTTCCGTTCCCAGGTCAAGGTACCTCATGGTTTTCCATACCCATTTCGGCATAATGAAACGGAGCAGGGTCGCCTCGGTAGCGTCCTCGAAGGCTTTGGCGAATGTTATATCTGGCAATCCGGGGCTCAAGCACCCAGGGTCGACCCCAAAGGCTATCATGCAAACATTATCGAATGTTAATCTCAATAGGACATCTTGAAGATCAATGGAGATTGATTTGTTCATCGCATTTTCTAAGACAGGCAAGAGCCGAGCGTGAACGAGCTCCAGCAATGACTCAGTCGTCAATTGCCGGAACAAAGCCGAGTGGAACTCGATGCTCGCCGTCTTTCTCTGCCGTTTCCAGGTTTCATTGTCGGCACTGAATATCCCACCGCCGAGGAGATCACACATGTTGTCACGAAAAAAGGGTCCTTTGGGGTAAACAGAGAACTTGGTCTTGAGAAGATGCTCGAGGTTCCTAGGATCGGCGGTCACCACGCAATTAAGGCTGCTAAACCATGGACCTCTAAACATGAAAGTTCCGTTCTGCCGGCAAAGCACGTCGGTAATCCACTCGTAAAGGTTGGACTGGAGACCAGCCACCAACGACGGCAGCATGCCTAGAAATGGCCACACAGGGACACCATAATGCCGTTTCTGCCTCAAGGAATGTATAGCAATGAAGACAAGAAAAGCAAGGATAATCTCCAAAATCTGAAGGTCCTGTAAGAAAAACAGCCGCCGGGAAACAATGTTTCCGACGAGATTACCACCGTGGCCGGAGGAAGTTAGATTGCTACTAGGGTTGATCATCATGTATTTTGGATGATAGGAAAAATGAAACAAGGACTAGTATCTAATTTTGCAAGGGAATTAGTGTGTTATAAGGCATGTGTTTCTTGACGTGCATGTTTTGGTCCAATTGGTTTGATTTGGTGAGCTAAATGTTTGTCTTTATAAGTGCGCTTTGCCTTTGCGGGCGGGTAGCCGGGCATGAACTATGAGATGTTTAATAAAAGGGTAAACTACTTATTCGGTCATTATTTCAGTTTTGTTTTCGTCGTCTAATTATTTTCTTAAGATCATATTTAATATTATATTTGGTTCTATTTTGTTCACCGTCATTAAAAAATTAATAGTTATATTGACTTATTATCATTAAAAAAATCACCACGTTATCTGTTCTACTTATTTTTTAATGATATGTGACCAAAGTAAAACATAAAGATAACATTAGATGTGATTCAAAAAAAGTTAGATGACAAAAACAAAATCGCATGAATAGATGTATATAGAGAGTGGGATGGGCTCTTGTCCATCCCAAAGTTTTTCGTCTAATATCACTTTAGGTCCTTATCAGTTTAAATTTCAGTAAAATAAGACTTTTGGCTCCTCTAATTTGTTAGATTAAATTAGTAATAAATTCTTATTATTTTGACTTAGATACCTTATCATTCACAATATTTAATTCTAACTCTATCTTCGTAGGTACTAAATAATTAATTTACCCTTAATAAAATTGTGGGCTGTCCCTCCTGGAATATTTCCCTCGTTTGTGGGAATATTTGGCAATGACTAATGAGTTGGGTGTGAAAGGAAGTTCCTAAAAATAGAGTTCCAGTTTTGGTGTACAAGAAGAGGGTGCTGTCCGATAACCTTAGTTGAACAACCTTCACATGTTTTTCTTTTTGGGTTAATTCCCCAATATATCCTCGTACTACTTTTAATGGTCTTAAATCTCAAATTATTTCAATATAATTCTCAAATTAAGGATCTGTTTATTAAAATATTTAAAGAATCCAGTTAATTGAAAATTAATATTTTTTACATTTGATGCTTTAAACATGTTTAATAACCTAAATAATCAGAAAAAATTACTTAAATGGTTTGAAAATTTAAAAATAACTTAAAATTCAACACATTTACTGTAATTTGGAACACACACCCTATAAATATAGTCATTTGAATTCAAAATCTTAAAAAAAAATTTCTTTTTTATTACTCAACGTTTGATAGGTTTGTTTTCTTTATTTATAAGTTGATTATAGTCTATAGATATAGAATAAATGATTTATGTGGCACTGATAATCTGGTATGCTTACTTGGCAAAGTATTAATCATGCCACTTGGTAACAACCCGAGCATAGTTTGATTACTTAGCTCAGCTAATTTGGTTGAATATGAGAATTGTTGATTCGGGTAAGCTCCTTCACCAACTTCAATTCATTAATTCATTCCATTTTTGGAGATAATGTTTTTATACCAAAACTCCACTCTCTAACGTCACTCTTCTCTTTTTCTTTCACCAATAAATTATAGGGTAAACTATGTGAATAGTCCCCTATGTTTTCAATCTAACCAACTTTGGTCACTAATTTAAAAATTAAGGGGAAATGGTCCCTAACATTATCAATCCATTCGATTTTAGTCCCTAATATTATCGATCCATTTGAATTTAGTCTCTCGACCGTTAACTCCCGTTCAATTTTAATCCCTCAAACATGTTAGAGACTTAAACAAAAGGGATTAACAAAAATTAATAGCATAGAGACTTAAACCAGACAGACTAATAATGTGAAGGACCATTTATCTTTAATTTTAAATTGGTGATCAAAGTTGAACAGACCCTAAACAAAAGGGATTATTTACATAGTTTACCCTAAATTATAGAATAAACTACACATTTAGCACTCAAAGTATCACTTTTGTTTCACAAAATATATTTTATATATATTTGATATATATTGTATCAGTATCAAAAAAATGATAATTTAAGTATTAAACGAATAATTTACCATAAATTATATGATTAATATTTTTTTTAATAAATTTTAAATATAGTCTTAATCATATCTAGAGGTAAGGGGAATGAGGGAACTCTAGAGAAAAGAATGAAGATTTTCCTAGTGAGTCTAAATCTCATAACCTAAGGAATATGAGGAAATAAGAATAAACAACTTAACCAATCGACTAAATGTGCTTACTCATTATATGATTAATATTAAATTATTGTTAATTTTTTCCCTAAAAATAATAAAATAATTCAAGGGCCTAGGAGTGAAAATTATGGTGAATAAAATTTGTTTGCCTAGAGATGGATGATCCGTTAACTTAATCTTTACCTTTATAAGAAGACTTTTATTTTGGTAGGTTTAACCAATTTTTAAGGTCATTTTTTTAATGTTTTTTTTCTTGGGTTTCAAACGATTACCAATTCTTATAGGTAAAAAGACCCTTGAGGTCCCTCTAAATTTCAATAATGAACAAATTGTACTCTCTTAAATAAACGATGAAATTGAGTCCCTATCAATTTTGAAAGTACGTAATAGAAGACAATAGACGATGATATTTACTTTATCCATTTTATTGGTGTATTTTAAATTTAGCCCTCTATATTTATACACTCTTTCATTTGATTCTAAAAAAATTAATAAATTAAACACTCAAATTTACATATTCTATCTATTTTGTTCAAATTATGAAATATTATATGAAAATGAAAATGAATATAGATATTTAAAATTTTAGTATATATATATATATTAAACTTCAAAAAGTTTTGAAAGATATTTACTTTTTATTTTAATACAATGTCATTTAATTCAAACTCCAATGTAAAATCAATTTCATAATTGACAATTAAATCTATTTTCATTACATAGTTTTTATAAATGTTGTTATTCTTATTCAAACTCCAACCTAAAATTTTAGCACAATATTATCTAACTCAAATTCTAACTTAAATGTTTTTTAACGTAGACTTTTCTTATTTCTTTTTTTGATTTTTTTATATTTTTAAAATATATATACATATTTTTTTATATAATTTTTAATAACCAAAATCAAATTGATAAAATATGTAAATATTAAGAATTAAATTTATTACTTTTTTAAATCAAGACCAAATGAACCAATGCATAAAATATTGATGACTAAATATATAATAATACTAATCAAAAGTAGATGAAAAAGCGAACATCGTCTTCTATTGTTCCCAGTTGCTTGGTTTCGAATTTGGCAGAAACTAAATTACTTCATTTATTTTGAGAGGGTTCAATTTGCTTATTATCAAAATTAAGAAGGACCTCGACGATACTTTTACCGATTCTTTTACATTTTGTGCCAAATTATTACGCCGTGATGATGTATGTCGTAGGTAGGTACACAAGCAATGCACACGTTAGGTGGACGTGCATAGGTGAATAAAAGATGGGATTCTTTATTCTCAATACAAGTAAGTGATTAGTACAACTCTTACAATACGATCAGATTGGTACACATGGATAGGCGCAACCTTTTTATATCATATATGCGAATTTTAAAAATTATATTATAAATTTAAAAAGTGTTAAATTATGAAATTTTAGAGGTACCAAATTTGATTATCAATTGAAAATATAGAAAAATATATCTAAAGTAAAAGATTTGAAACTTTTAAGAGGTGCAATTGTATCCCTACCCTTCCTAAATTCATTATGTACCCGTAACTATATTATTTTAGCCAAATTCATTTCAAAGTTCAATCCTCCCTTGCCCTACGTTACTAACTAACGAAATCATTTACCAATTCGTTGCAAAGTAGTCTGGAGTAATTACAAGATAATATATGTTCATAATCTTTCTTAACCTTTAATAACACACACATACCTTACAAATGTAACTGTTCAAACCTAGCATCTCAAGAAAGAACGAAATTTTCTTTAACCACCGATGTCAAATGATGAATTCTCGATATTTAAAATATATTTAATTCTTACTAATTTTTCAATTTAAATTGGTTACTAATCCTTTAATAAATGGAATGGAGTTAGGCTGAAGCACATGGGACTTTGTTTGCCCATTAAAAAACTTGGTTTGATTTCATTAAAAGAAAAGAAAAGAAAAACTCTGAAACAAAAAGGCAAATGAAGCGTAAGTGAAGGAAATGTAAGAAATGATCTATACCTAATAGTGATTGGCAAAACAATTTCGTAAAGGAAGGAACACGTGACCATTTCCATTTCATTTAAAACACAATTCACATTTGAACATTTGGACTTCCTGTTTATTTTAAAAATAATGTAATTTTATAATAAAGCACATATAAATACATTCTAATTATTTTTAAAAATCCATTAATTTATTAAATGCTTTTCAATATTAACTAGAGTATGACGCTCACTATATTTTCTTGATAAATTTTAAATCTAATTTTAATCTTACTCATAATGGAAATGCTAGCAGAAGGAAAGAAAGTGTTCCTAATTAATCTATAATCCATAACCTAAAGAAATATAAGAGAATAAATATGAGCAACTTGACCAACCGACAAAATATAATTACTCATGACACTCACTACATTTAGATTAAAGTATGATACAAATAAATATAAAAAATTAACATATGACGTAACATAAAATCAAAAATAATATTAATTTGGCACTAACTATTATGTTTGAAGTTCATGGCTAGCCTTTCAATAATGTTGTTTTCTGATTTGAATTTAGGTTATTCCTTTATAGTCTAAAATATCTTATCATTGTACATACCATTTAATAATAATAATAACTTATTAATATGTAAATTTCATATAACTTTATAACATTCAACAAATAAAAGTATCATGGATATAAAAACATGTTTAATGGAATGAGTAATATAACACCATAAGTATCATATAAAATTATTGAAATGATTAACTATTTTTATTTAAAACAATATACTTCACTTTTAAAATAATTAAACAATGTATGGAAAACATAACCTTTTATAAAAGTGGAACTCTTGTTTAGAAACCCAATACATAAATACATAAATAAAATATTACAACTTGACCCAGCTATAAACTATAACTTCTATATGCCTATTAAATCGTCATCACTACACTCTAGTATTCCCACTGAGACTCCTTTGATAATATCATTGTCCCATCGCGCTTCACAAAACCTATAACCTGTGAACTAAAACACATTTCGAATGTTGAACTAACAAGCTCAGTGTCACACAATAACTCTATTATACTACATGCATTCATAACATAAATATACCAGAAAGTATAGTTAGAGAATCAATAATGTACATTCAATGCATATTCACAATCACGATATAACAATCAAGGATAAGGTTTGGGTCACGAAGCTCAAACACCAATCCACGACACACAAACAAGCATCATTGTATAGTCCATGGTTACACGTGCATTAAGGGACTCACACCCCTCTAGTCTATAATAGGTACTTTGGATGAGACTCGTGCCACTCGTATTAGGAATGTATATCCAATGCCCCTCATAGCTAAGTACCTCAAATGAGACCTAGATCACATATGCTTTAAGAACATACACCCTACTAGCTTACTCTTATAGAGTATACAGATGAGTCTAGGTCATAAGAACGTTAGATTAACATTCGTTGGTATACTTTCAGTGTCTCGACACAACTCTTAAGATATCCGAATAATCCATCAAACACATTCATAGACGATCATCATACATAAGTAACTCAGGTATTTTTATCGTTTTCCTGTATAAATCTTATGAAATTTTTGCTCAAAATATTTTTATGCATACCGCACATATTATCAATCATCACATTACCAATCAAACTCTCATTTTAAAGTTAAATGTTCAGTCACACACCATTACTTATTCACATTACTGCTCAAATGCCATTAATTGTAAAGTTTGTTTATCAATCACATATCATCAAGTTCCTATTATTTTCTTCTCACTATTAATTTTTCACTTTTTAGCTTATTAATTGTCCCCACTTGCTATTAGACTTATCACTCTTGAGTTGTATTCAATATCTTAAAGTTCACAAATCAATCATCACTAATGATATTGATACATGTACTTAGGTATCGATACTCTCTTTGAGCATCAATACAAAAATATCCTCGAAATCCACTTATAACCCTCAATATTAATAGCATGCCTTGAGTATCGATACCAACTTTTAGGGTATCGATACTCCCCGTGAGTATTAGTACTAAATTAAGTCTCGAAGTTGTCTAAAATTGTCTCGATTTTGATACTAAACTTTCAATATCGAAGTTGCCTAAAATTGACTAAAATATAGGCAAACATTAGGGTCTTATTGTCTTAAAATAAAATGTTGGTGGTCAAAATACTCCAAAAAAAGGAGTTAAAATGATTATTTAATCAAACATAAGGGTATTTGTTGACGTTATATCTTTTGTTGTTTGGGTTATTAAATTTGGGCTCATTTTCTGATTAATTTCTCAAACAAATATAGGTAGCCTTGTAATTCAAACCCAATCCCTTACTAGTAGAGCTGAAGCCTGAAAAGCCATGGAATGGGAATCTAAATTAAACCCTATTATCCATTAAACCCCAATTACTCTGAATCCAATCCAAACCAAACCAAATGGTCCCAAAACCGGTAAAAAGGGACTCCCCCTTCTCCACTTTCCTCTTCCATCGCATCTCTAATAGTAAAACAGCGTATACCCAAACTGAGCAAATTTTGTCGGCAGCTGCTTCCTCAATGGCTTCTTTTCTCAACAAATTCCAAGACGTAAGTATCCTTTATCTCTCCACCGTTGTTTCATTTAGGAACTCAAGTAACATAAACATCGAATTTATGTCAGTTCATTTGTGAAACTGGATAATAATGAATCAGATTTGGAGTTTAGCCGAGTTCATTTTATGAATAGAATAAATGTTTGTTTCCTATTGATATTCCAGGCTGTGAGAACTTTTGCAAAAAGCCCCCAGCTTTTCTAGGGACCCAAGGAGACTCCAATTTGAAGCTGACATCAATCGCCTTTTTATGTATACAAGGTTGGTTTATCTTCAATACCCATACCCTTTTTTCCCTCATTCGTTATCATTGTTTTTGGTTCAGTAGTTTGATTGCTTGAAATTGTTGCTTGTGCATTGTTCAGTTACAATAGTTTGGGGAAGAATGCGGATGAGGCTGATGCAGATCAGATCATTGACATGGCAATTAAAGCCTCTTTTGATGACCAACAGAAGCAAGTGCAAGAAAATATTCATAATCAAATTAAAAGGTTTTGCACTGCCATGGATGAAATTCTTATCAATATCAATGAGCCACAAGAATCGCAATCGAAAGCTACTCCTTCCCGAAGCGGTCTTAGTTTGGCTGTTGGAAAGAATTCCCCAACTATTAACCATCCCGGTGAGTATATTTCTAGTTTATGTTTTTCACGGTATCGTCAAGGATTGCGCTTTATATATCATCTATGGGATGTTTGGCATCTCTAAATTTTTATTCCCAAAGCTTTTTTGCAAGGAAATTGAGCATTTCACTGTCAGCACTCAGTATAGTAGTTTGTTTTGCCCTACATTGTATTGCATTGCAACTATAATGTGATGATTTTGGTTTTGGAACTTAAAATGATAATAATTTTTAGATCTTCACTGTGTTGCTATGCTTTTTTTTTAACTAGGCGAGCTTCACTGAGGTATGATATAGGAGCTGATGCTCATATTCGAACCAATTTTTTTCCTCTCTGTTACTAATGGTTAAGGGTTTTTTGCTTGTTTTCAAAATTGTGATAGGTGCAAAATAAATGTTGAACATCAATCTTCTCATAACTATTATGAAAAGATAATTGCTAGTGTATATGTTAATAAGAAATAATAATAAAAAGGTTTAATGGAAGCTTTTTATCGCTTCTAAATTTGTCGTAGATCTGTACAAAAAATGAATAGCAGCAAGTATTCCTAATATGAACCTTTAGATACGTTGTTTGACTTTGATCATATACATGCTCGGCTCTAGTTTCTATTTTGTACCAGTAATAGCCGAGGTAAATGGCATAGGGCACTTGAATCTTTTGATCTGTTATTGAACTTTGATCTATATGCCTTTGCTCTCTAGTTCCCAGTTCGTACTAATAATAGTAGATATTAAAGGAAGGCTCTCTCACGGATATGGCCTTTGCAGTTCTAACTATTGAAAAATTATCAGTGCAGCTGTTCCTAAGACACGGCCATTAAAACATGCTGAACTCTAGCAGAGGTTGAAGGATTCTATTGGCTACACTCTTGATGTCAAACCATCTCAGATACCCCACAGTGAAGCTGGACAAGGACTATTTCTGAATGGTGAAGCTAATGTTGGTGCTGTAATTGCCATATACCCTGGTGTTATATATTCCCCAGCTTATTACAGATACATTCCCGGATAATCAAATAATCAATCAAGTGTTTTTTTTAGAGAGGATAGCAAAATTTCATTAGGAAAATTAATATTGTTTACTCGATTCGGTTTGAAAAAATTAACTCAGAAAATTTTTAAATTTGAATTGAGTTATAAAATAGAACTCGAATAACTTGAATAGTAATTCAAATAAGTTGGAATTTTAAATAATTAATGAATTAATTTCAAGTTTGAGTCGAGTGCCTCAATTTAGAATGATATATGTATATCACTTGTGAAGAAACATATATGTATTGTATATTATTATAGAAAATCGTTTAATTTAAAATCAAATAATACTATAATATTATAAATATTTACAATCAAATTTAAGCATAAACTCCAACAACTCGACTAAAAAAATTCAAATAAAATTTGAGTTATAAAATATGACTCGTCAACTATAATAATTTAAAATTTTTTGACTCAACTCGGTCAAACACTCACCCTTAGGGAAAGCAAATAATTAAATTGGTTTGGTTGCAGTTTTATTCGGTTAGAGCACCCGACCTAAGGGTCGGGCATTAAACATGCAGCTTACTACAACTATAATTAAGGATAATTAAAAGGTAAGATCGAATCAAATTTAAACTGTAACAATTATCTTTAAAAATATAAAAGTCAATCATATTATTAATCTTGGATAGATTATTTTTACCTTAAATTTGAATATGGTGTAACCTTATAGTTTAAAAAATTCAATTTGATCCATATTCAAAGTTTTTTAAGAAGTAATACAATAAGATTAAATCAAAACCTATCAGATTTGTCTAAGATGTCCATCCTCTAATCATAATACTTTGAAAATATGAATCAGGAGATTACATTAAACACTAGTTTTTGGAATAGTAAGCAGTGCGGACATATCATTTGAGTTTGAAACCAAAGCAAGTGACCAAAACACACAAAAAGAAAACTGGGGATGGCCATCCATTTAGACATTTTCCATAACTCTCCAAGATTTCCGTCTTAAGCAACAAATATTTGGTTAGAACTTACACACTTCACCCCCTCAAAACAGGAAAAAGAAAATCAAAGTAGGATTATTCCTTAAAAATCTTTGACTGATCATTACTTATGATTCGTGTATGCCGTTGCAATATCCACAACTCTCCCTCTATATAGATTAACACCACGCGGCAACGACAAAATGTGTTCGTATTTCCTGCAGACGAAACTAGCAACAATGGCTTCCGTTAACTCAGCTGTTTCTTTGAGTTTGCTTTTACTTTTGCTTAGTGTAAGCCAGGCTTTAGCTAGAGTAAGTGTGGGCAATGGAGGATTTTGGCATGACGGTGATGAGCCGAGGGTGAGTGCCGATGTTTCGGGTCGACAAGAAGCCGACCGAGTTGTCGAGCTTCCGGGTCAGCCTCCGGTGGGTTTCAAGCATTATGCTGGGTATGTTACAGTGAATGAGAAACATAGAACAGCACTGTTCTATTGGTTTTTCGAAGCTACGACCAAACCCGAAAGTCATCCTCTTCTACTATGGCTCAATGGAGGTAATACTAAACTCCAAAATCCCATGAAATTTCTTTTTCTTTTTGTCTTTTATTAATGGTTAGATTATGCATTCGGTCCCTCTATAATATCAAAATCACGATTTAGTCCCTTTAATTTGACGTAATTTGATGATTAGTGAGAAAAATATACTATCAGAAGGGACAGGTTGATTTTTTTTCTTTCTTTTTTACATTTATGATTGAACACCTCTCCTTTTCAAGTCTCTACGGACTCGGCCATGCCTAGCCCATAACTTTCCTTCACTTACACCATGACTATATGATAATATGTGAAATATCTCTCATTTTTGGTTATCTTCACATTAGTAAAAATTGTCATCTTTTGCTATTTTTCTATAAACAAAATCTCATCATTCATGCGTATGACATCATATTATTTTTATTAGAAATATGTTTTCAAAGTTATGTGGATATAAATTTTGGTACGTAGTTACCTGTAAAGCATAAAATTAGCAGTATATAATAAATTATGATTAAAAAGTTGTCTAAAGACATGTGTTAAGATTAATCAAGTTACTATTTATAGTAATGCATTTACATTAAATGTGTAAGGTTGTATAAATAAACTCCTTTGATCTTTCCACAGTCGGTTCATTTTTACCGAGGCTTAAGTTAATTAAAATTGCAGGTCCTGGATGTTCATCAATTGGTTATGGAGAAGCAGAAGAACTGGGGCCTTTCTTCCCTAAGAAAGATCAACAAACGCTGAAGCTCAACCCTCATAGCTGGAACAAAGGTATGTATGTGTGTGTTTGTGTGTGTTATTTCTTTCATTGACTGAGTAATTTGAGTGTTGTTTCATGTTATTTGATGGGGTTTGGTACTAATTTATGTTCTTTTTTTGCTTTGTTTTCTCATCCAGCTGCCAACTTACTGTTTGTTGAATCTCCGGTTGGTGTTGGGTTTTCTTATACTAACACCAGCAGAGATATCGATGAACTTGGTGATGAAATTACAGGTAAAAAAGAACCCCTTTTAATGCAACAAAATTTCTAAACAGAAATCTCATTTTCTGATTATTCCCTGTTTTTTTAATGATGTAGCCAAGGATTCCTATGTGTTTCTCGTCAACTGGTTCAGAAGATTCCCTCAGTTCAAGTCCCATGATTTCTACATTTCTGGAGAAAGTTATGCTGGTATGAATGACAATGTTTCTCCTCTTTTTCCAGTTTTGATTTTTTGATTCTTCAGTTTCCATGTTAATGCGGTTTTTAATGAAATTTTCAGGGCACTATGTTCCACAGCTAGCCGAGCTCATTTTCGACATCAACGAGCATGTTCCCAAGTCAGATTACATTAATCTCAAGGGATTTATGGTAAGAGTTTAATTGCAGTAACATTCTTTTCTGTCATTATCTCGGATGCGTATTGGATAAGGGTACGTATCAATGCAGATTGGGAATGCGTTGCTGGACGATGAAACGGATCAAAATGGTATGATAGAGTATGCATGGGATCATGCAGTGATCTCCGATCGAGTTTACCGCAATATCAAAACCAAATGCGACTTCCGCAGGAAAATGGCATCTGTAGGTTGCAACAGAGCCCTCAATGCTTATTTTGATGTATACAAAATCATCGACATGTACAGCTTGTACTCTCCTAGTTGTGTTAGCAACTCCAGCAGTAGTAGTAGCAGACAACGCCGTGTGATTCAAGGCATCGCTCCTCAGATACTGTCCAAATTTGTAAGTTCGAAAGATTCAAATCGAATCCCGATTAACAATTTCTTCTAATATGTCCCCCGATTCATACCGAATGAGGTTCCTACAGGATGGATGGCATAGGAGATCAGCAGGATACGACCCTTGTGCACCATTCTACACAGAGAGTTACTTCAACCGACCTGATGTTCAAAAAGCACTTCATGCCAATGTTACCAATATGTCCTATCCATGGACTCATTGCAGGTATTATCAAATTAACTTTAATTTGACAACCATAGGACAAATACATAAAATTTTAGGGTTATTTTTTGTGTGTACAGTGATGCAATCTCAATTTGGAGGGATTCACCAGCATCTATGCTTCCTACAATTAGAAAGCTTATAGCTGGAGGCATTCACATATGGGTTTACAGGTAAACTTTTTACCAACAATACTGTAAATTTTTTTTCTTTGGTTTATCATTTTTCTTCTTTCCATGTTTGCAGTGGAGATACTGATGGGAGGATTCCTGTTACTGCAACTAGATTAACCCTCAAAAAGCTTGGATTAAAGATAAATGAAGACTGGACACCATGGTACACCAACAACAAACAGGTTAGCTTTCATCGTTTTTAAGTACCCTTGAGAGCTGCTAACCTCGAAGTAACTGCATAAATGAATCGGATTAAATTTGGGTTTTCGATTGCATTCTTTTAAATGTCACAGGTCGGTGGGTGGACGATTGAGTATGATGGGCTAATGTTTGTTACCATTAGAGGAGCTGGTCATGAAGTTCCAAGTTTTAAACCAAGGCAGGCACTTCAGCTAGTTAAACACTTCCTGACCAACAAGAAACTGTCATCGAAACCATTTTAGGCCGTTATTGAATGCATTTCTGTTGGTTGTTTTCGAGCCAGATGGATTAGAAGAAACTTTTTTAATCAGCTTTTTTGTAGTTAACAAACAATATTAGCTGCGGCATCAGTCAAGATCTACTTGGCAAATGGCATGAAACTTGTACAGCATTGTTTCATCCATGACATAATTTGAAATCACATCGTAGAATGAATAATGCTATGATCAAATGCATGATAAAAGTGACTAATTGCATAACATATGTGTGTGTATATATAGTCCACCGTAATGTTCGATTCCTTTTCATTAAACCTGTGGTTTGATTCTATTCCAAACAAAAAAGTGATACTAAAAGACGTGCCAAAACAGCAAAGTACATAACTAGTATCTGACCTTTTTGCACCACCGTAACCTGGTGGCGTCTTTGCATTGTCATTGCATTTGTTCGAAAGTGGAATACCGCAAAGGCCAGGATTGCCTAAATAACAGTCATTTGAAAATGTTTCGAATTGGTGATTCAATGATATCATGCCTGATAGATTGTTGAATGATACGCAAAAACCGCGAGAAATGTAAGACCAGTTAACTCAGGTGGTATTGCACCGAAGAGATTGTTGTGTGAAATATCTAGGCTCTGTAGATCTGTCAAGTTTTCCAAGAATGAAGGTATTTGACATGTGAGAAGGTTGCTCGACATGTTAAGGAAATGAATCATCTTCAGACGGGTCATTTGGTTTGGAATTCGACCTGTTAGTTTATTCGAAGAGACATCTATTCCCCTAAGATATGGAGGCAACCGATAATAAGTCAGAACACCTTAATTTGTTGAAGATTTCAATACTATTCAAGTAGTCAGTCTCAAGAAGGAAACCGTGAGAATTATCCATCCAAGTCCAAGAAGTAACGTTATCAACACAGTCAGGAATCTCACCAGAAAGACTGTTTCTAGAAAGATCTAAAACATGCAAATGCCTCATTTGGCAAAGTTACCGTGGTATTTGCCCTATAGAGCGGTTCCCTCCGAGGACTAGAGACTTTAACTTGGGGAGGACGGGCAAGTACGATGAAAGCTCGCCTGAATTCTGAATGTCAACAAAGTTCCAACTCCATGCTCTTCGACAGTTCCTGAAAACTGGTTTCTGTCGAGATAAAGCCAATCTTATTTCAGGAAAGCTTGAGTTTTGGGAAACAAATCTCCTGTCAAATGGTTCCCGGATAGCCTCAGATATAGTAGAGAACTCATATTACTTACCATGGTATGGGGAATTTCTCCTTGGAACTGATTGTCTGATAAGTCCAGCATCTGAAGTTGGTCTCCTAAGAATGGAGGGAGGCTGCCATTGAAGCTATCATTGGAAAGATCTAAATGGCGCAGATGTGGAAGATTGAAGTCAATATCTCTGGGTAACGTCCCATGCAAGAAATTGTTAGAAATATCAAGAACAGTAAGCCTTGAGCTAACGTTTTGAAATCTCCAGGGGAAAGGACCAGTCAAGTTATTGCCTCCAAGCCATAATTCTGAAGTGATACAGTGGAGCAGCCAAGTAGATTTTTCAGCATTCAGTTCTCTGTTGCAAATTGTTATGGGGATCCAACCTTTGAAGGTACTCCAGTTCTCTGAATGCTGCGGAGTTTTGTCATCAAATCATTAGAAACTATTTGATGACTTGAACAGATTATTCAGCTATCATTTTAAAATCATCATAAATAGAACTGCAGGAAAAAAGAAAACCAACACACAAAGTAGAGATCTAAATGGAGGTTTTAGAAGAATGTTTATCATGAAGTGAAAGGAAACCTCTTATATGATTCCCGGCGGTTCAAGTTCATTCAACTCCTCGAACAAACAAGGTAACGTTTGGGTACCAAGGTTGAAACTCGCCATCGCTTAGATCCCTCCAGTAGTGAAAGAAGATGCATATTATGGATATGAGTACGAGTAGGACCGCATTCGATTCCCTCCCACTCGCAACATTCTTCTTCGTACCAGTTTGAGAAAGCAGGCTCCTGGAGACTGGTCATGGAATCTTTGATTTGTAGAAGAGTAGCTCTTTCAACTTCTAAGCAGCCTTGGCAATCACAATAAAGAAGCAAAACTAAAAACCATCGGTAGAAACTGGTAATCTCCATCACAAGCTTCTCTCTTTTTAATTCATCAATGAATATTGAGTCATCTTTATTGAAATATGATAAATTTGCTCTGAAGCTGAATGATTTATGTGGTCAAACGAGAAAAGGAAATATGATAAATTCCTTGTGGTGTTTTCGAGTTTTTCCACAAAATCAACAGGAAAAATAGAAATACTTCCCAGTAGTAAGGAACGGACTGCTGAATCTAACGAAATATTGAAAAGTTTTTAATATTTGGTATTAAAATTAAAAATTACTATAAATTATATATTTTAGATGTTGTATTATAAATTGAACATATATATATATATATATATTTAAATTTATTTATATTTTAGGGTAAAATACATAAATTGTCTCATGACTATAGGGTGTTTTTTTATTGAATCCATCGACTATTAAAGTTACAAAACGATCCCGCATTGCTTTTTGAGTCCCCTAACTATTAAAAGTTACAAAATTGTCAATCGACTATTCATATATTTCAAACTCGTATTTTTATGTTAAAATATTAACAGCAGTCTGAGCTGGACGTTAACATGTTGATTAATATGATAAAATCTGATCCAAAAATCTCAAACTATCCTATCCCAGTCAACAGGTTAACGTTCAACTCAGAATACGACAATTTTTTAACAAAAAAAGATGAGTTTAGAACATAATTTCATATCATCTAAATCTTAATATAATTTGTTAAGTTCGCACATTCTAACATATATTTTTGCGCCCATCTATATTAACATAATAACTCACAATGTTTATATAATAAACTATAATATTAATGTGGTTGTCTACATTGAATTATAATGTGATAGATAGATTTAATTGACTCTTTTTAAAAAAAATTAAAGGTTTAATTGAATTTTTTAAAAAAGTTTAAAGTTTATTTATTTTTTTAAGAAAATAAAAATTATTTAAAATAAAATATTAATAAGTAGTAAAACTAAAATTACTATTAAAACTTAAAAAATCTCAAATTATAAAATAATTAATTATAAATTGTTAAAAGTATGTTTAGAAAAATAATTTTTTTAAAATTTAAAAACTTTCATCGAAAAATCTTTGATTATCTCTCGTCAATTTTAATCGACTATTATTTTTCGAACATAATTTTAATTTTTTAATATAAATTTGAGGTGAATACAAGGTAGTATATGTTCAAAAACTCTCAATTTTTTCTACAATAAACGCTCATACTCCTTCATATGTGGTACTCGAACCGGAAACTTAAGAGATAATAATAAATCTCTTAACTACTAAGATCATTTGGTTCGTACAACATAAATATCTAATTGTGATGGTAATGAGATGAGTTTTTAGTTAACTCGAATATAATTGATACTATAACAATAAAATCCAGTTTTGGCTCTGTCGTAATCGTCTTTCGGTTGGGCCCCGGAATTGGGTTTCGACTTGAAAAATATGGATTGAGAGTCGCCACCGATCATTTATTTAAAATAAATGGGTTGATCGGATACCATATTTCTTACCTGATCTGCGTCTTTCCAAAGATGTGTCGGGTTCGGGAGTCGGTTACGGTCAAGGAAGGATTATCACCCTTGAACCGCCCTTTCGGTACTACGTAATTTCCAGTTGTCTTTTATTAAGAAAATTGTAAGTTAAATTAAAAGGTAAAATTTGATCCGAATTACTTACCCTTAATGAGTTTACGGAAATACCCTTAAAAATTAAAATAAGATGTTAAAAGAAAATAATAATAATAAAAGAAAGTAACAAAACTAAAGAGTAAACCAAGGAAATAAATGAAACCAATAATAATAAACATAAAATAATTGGATGAAATAAATATAAAAAAAATAAAATTGAATAAAATAAAATAAATAAAGAAAAAAATATATATACAAAAAAGAATAAAAAATGTAAAGTGTTAAAAAAAAGAAAAATAATAATAAGAGCAAAGAAACTAAAAACATAATGAAAATAAATAAATAGTATAAATAAAATAATAAAATAAAAAATATATATAAAAATATAAAAATATATGTATAATATAATAAAATATTAAATAGTAACAATAATAATAAATAAATGAAAAATAAATATACATATAATATTAACTAAAAAAATAGTAATCATAGAAATATAAAATAAAATGAAGTAAGAATATATATATATATAACATTAGGAAAATATAGTAAAAAAACATAGTAAATAAGTAAACATAGATAAAAAAATAATAATATAATATATATATAATAATAATAATAGGAAAATAATATAATATAACTCAAAGAAAAATGAAAAAAATTATAATAAATAAATAAAATATAATTTTATATATATATATATATATAATAAGGGTTAAATTAAAATAAAAAATGAATTAGGGGTCAAAATTAAAAGTCAATCGAAGAAAAAAACGACAAAACACGCGGATCCACACGACCCGTTTATAAAAATCCGAATAGTTTTTCAAACACACAAGCCTCGGGGACTAGATCTACAAAAATAGATCTCGAAAACGCCCCTGTTCATCGGCCAAAAACACTTCTCTCAGTTTTCTTTCGAATCAAAACACAGCAAGAGTAAGGAAAAATAACATGTGAATGTATGAACTTTACCTTTCAAAATATAAATACTTCGAAAAATGGCTACGAGTTGCTTGTAATTTTTTGCTTGGTATTTCGTATATCATCTTGTGTTACAATAGTGAGTTACAATGACTATTTATAATGCTTGTGGATCCTATCTTTAGGAGTTTAAATAATAGTAAAACTCTATCCTATTTTTAGGAGTTTGAATCCTAGCAAAATTCTATCATATTTTTAGGAGTTTGAATCCTAGTAGGACGAAAATGTGTGTTGACAGGCTCAATCAAAATTTTAAAATATTTTTAATTGTTTCAAACTTTTAATTAAAAATTCAAATGTGGCTTAATCTAATTTAATATGATTTTTAATTTTCAATATACTTTTTATCAAATAAAAAAATAATCAAATAAAATATTAATTTATTCAATTTAATAGCATAACATAAATTTTAATTTTAGTATTTAGTATGTCAATTTTTTACATATTTTTATTATAATTTAATCAATAATGTATAAAAATATATTTTTTATAAAAAAAATTAATGATAGTAAAATTAGTGTTATAAATAGGAGTGTAAATGAATCAAACTTTAACAAATAAAGATGTGTTCATATTTTTTTTAAATGTGTTCATGTCTCGTGTTCGTTTAAATTATTAATATTGATTTGTGCTCGTTTATTTATTTTTTAAAGTATTTATGTTTATTTGTTTTTCGTTCACGAATATGTTTGTTTAACTATTGCAAACATGTTTATTTAACGTTCGCGAAAATATTTGTTTAACATTTGTTTAATGTCGGGCAACCAAAACTCTTTTTATTCTTTTATTTGTAAGCCAAAGAATAATTGAGAAATTATGTCATTAGTTTTTAAATTATTTAGGTTTCACAATTTGACCTCTAAAGTTCATTAGTTCTTATCTTCACCAATATTTAAAATGTATAAATAAAAGAAAATGAGAATAAATGATTAGTGTTTAAATTATACATTATTTTATGATTAATTATTCATTGATTAGATAATTTTAGTTGCTGACTTGGGCATTTTCATTCATTTTCGATGCAAGACATTGAATTCTATAAATTATGCTAAGAATAACGAAATCGTGCACTTTTTTATTTTTCTGGATTAATCGCTGGATTAGTGAGCACGACATGGGACATGACACCCCGATATGGTATCTAGTCAGTACTGACATGGCGATGACATGACGATGAGGCAGGTGACATGACACTCAATCAACAGCTTCTAGAAGGTCCAGTTAGCAGCTTTTAAAAGATAGATTGACACATAGAGCATTTCAAACAATTTAAAATTCAAGTTTTTAGATTTATCTTTTTATTTTAGGATTAAATTTAAATAATTATTTTTTATTTTTTAACATATTTTTAGGGTTTTTAGAAAGCTATAAATACCCCTTGGGATAAGTCTAATAGAATCATCTTTTTTTTTTTAGTTTAATAAACATTATTTTCTTTTCTTTTCGTTTTCTTTAATTTTCTTTCAAACCGAGGGCTAAAGCGATGATTCAATTCCAACGTGAGAATTGAAAAACACTTGAATAACTTCATAATATATCTCTAAATCTTTGTGCTTATTTTTCAAAATCAAAACAGTTTTCAAAATCAAAGATTGATTTTGGTCAAAATGTTGTTGTGATTAAATGTGTGGGAGGAATGATTAACTTATTGAAAGCACATTCGACTTTTTGGGAATACAATTGGCAAGATTGCATTGCTAAGAGGGAAATTGTGATAAAAAATAGTAGTTATTGAAACAACAATCTGAGTCCGTTTTCACGAACGTAAACGACTATTGATATACGACAATTGATGTTGATCAAATCAATTTCCGAATTCATAATCAAAGATTGTCTTGGGTATTCGGTATACAAAGAAGAGACATAAGGATTGCCCTCGTAGACAAAATTACTAACGTGAATCCCGAAAGGAAAATCTAATTTGATGATCCGAATGAAATTGAATCAAAGCGAAAGCCTAAGGTTGATTTTACCATATTGAATTTTATTTTAAACTTTCTTTTTAATTTTTTTTTAATTTTTTTATTTATATTTATATTTCTTTTATTTTATTTATCTTCATTTATAAATCCCCACTATTACTTAAATTCTACTCAACTCTCTTCTTGACTCAAAGATTAAACAAAACATAAATAAATCATGAAATTTTTTTAGTTTCTATGAGATCGACTCTTACTTATTTTTTACTATGATAAATTTCATTTATTTATTAAGTGAGAAAAAAATTATTTTGACGTAAAAAACGATAACATAGTAAATGAATTTATAAACGAGTTGATAAACAAGATTATAAACGAGACTATATATGAGCTTATAAACAGAGTTAAAAAACGAGTTGATTAGTTCATCTAGTTTAATAGATAAACATAAACACTTCAACTATATTGATTTACACCTAGTAATTATTTT